GACGTTGTAGTATTATTTGTGTAGGTGCATCACCCGTTGCAACCTTTGAGGGGGTCCAAATTATTAAAAGTGGTAGTATTTCTCTTACTAAGATATTCTTGCCGTATAATATTAATTTGATAAGGTTGATGTATACTCTCAAAACATTTAAGCAAGACCAATTAAAGACTATTGTATGACCGTAATATACACTATGAGTTTATATCCGGCGCTCGATGAGGCATTTGAAAAGATGGATACTGTTGATGGATTTCGATTACATCAAATAAGCGACATAAAACATCGAAATGAGAAGGATAGGGAGTTGCGACTTGGATTGTATAAAAAGTATCCCAGAGCTGTGAATGCTCTCGACGGAGTTGACACCGCGCTTGTAGCAGCTGGCATGGGACTCAGTGTAGCTGGTGTTGGTTTATTATCAACTATAATCGCTCCGCCTATCGTGCTCGGCATGGAAATAGCGGCTGGAGTCTCGGGACTGGCAGGAATAGCGATAAAATTCATTTCTCGTAGGTTGCAAAAGAAAGCATTAAAACACGATAGTATTCGGATACTCGCCGAAGCAAAGTTGAACAGCATTGAGGATCATATTTCGACAGCAATGGTCGATTGTATGATATCCGAGAATGAGTTTCGTTTAGTGTTGTCAGAACTCACCAAATACAACGCAATGAAGCAGGAGATTCGATCCAATTCTCGTTAGAACAGTGGTATTAGCGAAGACGAGAAAAAAAAGGTCATAGAACAGGGGAGGCAACAAGCGTGTCAATTATTCCGTGCCAAAACCAAAGAACTGGTTTGAGATTAAAAATAGTTTGCTTACTATCGTTAGATCACATTTAGACAAACGCTTACATAAATATATAATAACGGAGACAACAATCGAAAAAGCTATTAAATGGAGAGAATTACCACAAGGTTTTTATTATATCAGTGATGTCAAACCAACCAAATACGGTTATCAATTGTTTCTTATCAATTTCCAAGAAGAGTGTAGTTATATAGTCTGGTCTCCTAGTAAAATGAACGAAGAACTTAATAAAAATGTTGAATATCGCTTTATTGATAAAAATAATAAAGAATATTTTCATTACCATTTAGGCTCATCTGAAGCATTGATTGGCTCCAGGTGGTGGTCATTTTAACTTAATCTCATGACTATCGTTGAATCGCATAATCATTTTGGCATAAAAAATTCCCCCTGTAGTAGCGGTATAGGTATATAAATCTGGCTCTTGTGGGTTTGCGGCAGAACCCCCATTACCTATACTACTCAATGCGACGGTGACGGAGCGTGTGTTTATGAACAGAACCACCCAAGGAAGCAGGCACCCAACAGTTGGTGTCGGTGTACGATTTCAACATTGTCAGTATTTATTATCAATAGACATACCTAGTCATTTCCGATATAACACAATTCAAACATCATGTGTGTGTGCGTGCGTGCGTGCGTGCGTGCGTGCGTGCGTGCGTGTGTGTGTGTTACGAGGGAGGTGTTTGTGTGTTGGTTGGTGGGTGGGGGGGACTTTTTGTTGGAATCAAGACTTATTTTCGGTCACTGCTCTGTATGTAAAACACGTCATATTTATTTAGGTCAATTTATTTTTTCATGTATTTCTTGACCACAAAGAACTGGTGAGAGTCACAAGGACGCGGATAAACAACAGCAGTGTGTGTATCCTGGTTGCTCGGCGTCTTCATGGACGACTTCAACACCACTCCTCATGACGTCACTTCGAGAAGTGTACGTCATAGACTCCCAATAACAAATGTATACTGGCACTCACCGACAAAAGAACCTTGAATACCATTTTTGTTGGTTAATCTATGACGAACAATTCATGTTCAAGAGATATAAGGCGAGTTCACCTTGACACAAGGGGAGGTAGGCGAGTTCACCTTGACACAAGGGAGGTAGGCGAGTTCACCTTGACAGAAGGGAAGGTAGGCGCGTTCACCTTGACACAAGGGAGGTAGGCGAGTTCACCTTGAAAGAAGGGAAGGTAGGCGAGTTCACCTTGACACAAGGGTGGGGTAGACGAATTCACCTTGAAAGAAGGGAAGGTAGGCGCGTTCACCTTGACACAAGGGGAGGTAGGCGAGTTCACCTTGAAAGAAGGGAAGGTAGGCGAGTTCACCTTGACACAAGGGTGGGGTAGACGAATTCACCTTGACACAAGGGGTGCACGTTTTGGAAGAAAAGAGCTTCAACGCATTCCTTCCTGTCCAGATTTTGTCGAGGTCGTTTCGGGCCCCCTGGTCTCGCCATTGACGCAACTGTTGCATTAGATGGTAGATGTAGTTTCAAACACTAGAAATTTTAGTCTACAAGTTAAACCAGTTAAAACTATGTAGAAAGAAACAAGACATTGTCGATACGGGACGTGTATCGGGAGTCACAGTTCACAAGGACCTAAGTGAGCCAAGTGGATGTCGAAGCAGAATGACCGGCTATACTCCCTCCAATGGCTGCAATAGTTACAGTAGCTACACTCCTTCCACTGGCTACAGTAACTACAGTAGCTACACTGCCTCCACTGGCTGCAATAGTTACAGTAGCTACACTGCCTCAACTGCCTCCACTGGCTACAGTAGCTACACTGCCTTCACTGGCTACAATAGTTACAGTAGCTACACTGCCTCCACTGCCTCCACTGGCTACAGTAGCTACACTGCCTTCACTGGCTACAATAGTTACAGTAGCTACACTGCCTCCACTGGCTACAATAGTTACAGTAGCTACCTCCATCGCCTCCTCTGTCTGCAATAGTTACACTAGCCACACTGCCTCCACTGGCTACAGTAGCTACACTGCCTCCACTGCCTCCTCTTGCTACAGTAGCTACATTAGCTACACTCCTTCCACTGGCTACAGTAACTACAGTAGCTACACTGCCTCCACTGGCTGCAATAGTTACAGTAGCTACACTGCCTCAACTGCCTCCACTGGCTACAGTAGCTACACTGCCTTCACTGGCTACAATAGTTACAGTAGCTACACTGCCTCCACTGCCTCCACTGGCTACAGTAGCTACACTGCCTTCACTGGCTACAATAGTTACAGTAGCTACACTGCCTCCACTGGCTACAATAGTTACAGTAGCTACCTCCATCGCCTCCTCTGTCTGCAATAGTTACACTAGCCACACTGCCTCCACTGGCTACAGTAGCTACACTGCCTCCACTGCCTCCTCTTGCTACAGTAGCTACAGTAGCTACACTCCTTCCACTGGCTACAGTAACTAAAGTAGCTACACTGCCTCCACTGCCTACAATAGTTACAGTAGCTACACTCCTTCCACTGGCTACAGTAACTACAGTAGCTACACTCCTTCCACTGGCTACAGTAACTACAGTAGCTACACTGCCTCCATTGGCTACAACAGTTACAGTAGCTACACTGCCTCCACTGGCTACAATAGTTACAGTAGCTACACTGCCTCATCTGGCTACAGTAGCTACAGTAGCTACACTGCCTCCACTGGCTACAATAGTTACAGTAGCTACACTGCCTCAACTGCCTCATCTGGCTACAGTAGCTACCTCCATCGCCACCTCTGTCTGCAATAGTTACACTAGCCACACTGCCTCCACTGCCTCATCTGGCTACAGTAGCTACAGTAGCCACACTGCCTCCACTGGCTACAGTAGCTACACTGCCTCCACTGGCTACAATAGTTACAGTAGGTACCTCCATCGCCTCCTCTGTCTGCAATAGTTACAGTAGCTACACTGCCTCCACTGGCTACAATAGTTACAGTAGCTACCTCCATCGCCTCCTCTGTCTGCAATAGTTACAGTAGCCACACTGCCTCCACTGGCTACAGTAGCTACACTGCCTCATCTGGCTACAGTAGCTACAGTAGCTACACTCCTTCCACTGGCTACAATAGTTACAGTAGCTACACTGCCTCGTCTAGCTGCAATAGTTACAGTAGCTACACTGCCTCCACTGGCTGCATAAGCTACAGTAGCTACACTGCCTCCACTGGCTACAATAGTTACAGTAGCTACACTGCCTCCACTGGCTGCATTAGCTACAGTAGCTACACTGCCTCCACTGGCTACAATAGTTACAGTAGCTACACTGCCTCCACTGGCTACAGTAACTACAGTAGCTACAGTAGCTACACTGCCTCCACTGACTACAATTGTTACAGTAGCTACCTCCATCGCCTCCTCTGGCTGCAATAGTTATAGTAGCTACACTGCCTCCACTGACTACAATTGTTACAGTAGCTACACTGCTTCCACTAACTACAATAGTTACAGTAGCTACACTGCCTCATCTGGCTGCAATAGTTACAGTAGCTACACTGCCTCCACTGACTACAATAGTTACAGTAGCTACCTCCATCGCCTCCACTGACTACACTGGTCTTTGCTGCGTTTTGCTGCATTATTTATTTGCTGCTAGCTGATATCATATTCTAGTTACAGTAGCTACCTCCCTCGCCCCCTGTGACTACAATAGTTACAGTAGCTACCTCCATCGCCTCCATTGACTACAATAGTTACAGTAGCTACCTTCATCGTCTCCACTGACTACAATAGTTACAGTAGCTACCTTCATCGCCTGCTATGGCTGCAATAGTTATAGTAGCTACACTGCCTCCCCTGACTACAATTGTTACAGTAGCTACCTCCATCACCTCCTCTGGCTGCAATAGTTACAGTAGCTACACTGCCTCCACTGACTACAATAGTTACAGTAGCTACCTCCATCGCCTCCACTGACTACGCTGATCTTTGCTGCGTTTTGCTGCATTATTTATTTGCTGCCAGCTGATATCATATTCTTGCTTCACATATCGTATATGTCCTGATGTCTTCATATAATTATATCAATATCACCTGTGCGTTTCTTGTTTTGTGTGTATGTTCATTCTGACATTGAGTTCCAGATGCAGGCCTATCAAACATCCATGGGTCCTGGTTAGCTACTGATTCTCCTGTTTATATACTAGAATTAACATTATCAGTGACCAAATACACTCAAATAATAGATGTTGTTTTTTATTGAACAAAACTCAAATTACTGATTATTTCTTCCCATATAATATCCGAAGGGAACATGACGAACATGTGTATACATGGAGGAGAGTAGATTAGCGTTGCGATAAAATAAAGTTCTGATATGGTTTTTTCTTCAGAAAAATCGGGTTATCACATTGATTTCGATCATAGAACTTGCGCGGACACGTAAAGGGATGCCTGTATGGTTCAAACTTGCTCCGACCGCCATGTGATTTGAGACTTGCCCACCTCTAACACTTTATGAGCACAATTATCCAGTGAATCTAGCACATCTGTTTTTTTATGCACATGTAATTTGGTTGGGCGGCTCTTAATAGCACCATGTCAATCGAATTGGGCTAAAAAGAAGCGATGTGATGGTCTTGACCCAGGGTATAACTCCTGATAGAATGGAAATAAAATACACTGGGTAATCTAGAATTAGTTTCAACGTGTAATCGGAGCGAAGTGTGGCTCTGTCCGCCTGAAGACACTCATTGTTATCTCAAAGATTGGAAAACACCAAAGAAATGTTTTATCTAAAAATAATTTCAAAACAGTTGTTAACGTAAAGTCGAAGTTAGGCCAGCTAATGTCTCCATCGTTGTGTTTTGTTCATAATCTGGTGCACAACATCATTAGATCTCTTGTTAAAACATTTTTTTGTTATTTGTCGATCGTATCGCAGGCAGTGTAGACGCTCCTCAATGAATTGTCTCACTGCTACCACACTCATGTCCCGCGGATCTCTTTCTCTGTGTAAAACTGAAATAGAACACGTTTCAGAATAAATATGCCAGTACTAACTTCAGCTTATACATGTATAGTGTCATGGACGACTGTGTGAAGCTAGCGCTGCTTTTAAGCCCACCTGTACAAATATATCTTAGCGCTACGACACAAAAGTCAAGGGAGTTGCAAGGTGAGGTGAAATGAGGTTTGACGTCGCGTTCAAGATTATTACGCTTAAATAGCGACATGTATTCACGTGTATTTGTGTGGCTGCTTGTACTTGTCCGGACTAATGCCGATCTAAATTGCTAGCCCACTGAGATACCATGCTGCAGTTTAACATCAATATCCCTCTCAGACACAGTATGCCGACTCCGAGTCGACCAGTCAGGGTAACAACAAATACCATCTTTTAACGTCTTTTGTTATGACGCTGCCTAAAGGATCGAACCCCCGACCTTCAGCTCTCCGGATGCACGCTCGACCACTAGACCACAAGGCGGGCAAGAACGTCTTGGATTGTGGATATGTACCTGTCATTGGTCTAATGTTATTTGTTTGTTGCATTACGCTACGCTCTGCGATATTCTATCGAAATGGCAGTCTTATGCAAACGCGGGGAACTTGTCGTCTTGGGCGCCGCAATTCACTGTGCTGATAAACCTATGATTATGGGTTTGAATCCCGTTTCGCAGTGATCATGTTTCTAGGTCTGTCAGCACCATACCCGTGCTCGTGGGTTTCATCAAAGTAGTAAACGCATGAGACGTCTCCCACATTAAACCGACACGCAGTGATATGACTGGAATACTGTTCCAGTGGGGGCTCACTTAACTGTGCACACTAAATGGGCATATGACATCTTAGCCCTTAAGATCGCTTTGTGAAAAGGGACTCATCTATTAACGTTTACTTCCAAATTCCCCCCAGGGTTAATTATCTCCCCTGATTTGTACACACCCATGACCCAGGCAACTCACCGAGTATAGACTTTCGCGGAATTCTGCAACTGTTTGGTTGGCTGAAAAGAAGCAAGAATATTATCTAAATAAAATATATGAACATTTATGCTCTAACAATATAACCACGGAAGTGTTGGGATCATATGGACATGCTTATAACGAACTGGTGGATGTAACGAACTGTTTTAAGATCCTGGCCACTGTGTATATCAGTTGACATGCTTACAACGAACTACGATTATCATGAACTAAACTAAGTTGCCCCTATGATTTTGTTGTAGCGGTAGTTTACTGTTGATATCAATGTAGCTTAGTTTATGTAGTTGGAGTAGTAGATGCGGACGCTTGTACTGACCACTGTTCCGGGACGGCTCAAACAAAAGCAGGCTGAAGCCCTGCGTCAGCTGGTTGAAGATCCTGTGAGCAACGTCCGGTTGGTCGCCATAGCGACACGTCCACTCCTTCACGAACTCGTACGGCGACACAACACCATCCACTGGCCCAAAGACAAAATACCTCAGTAGCTGACATGTTACAACACCCTGACATGTTACAACACCCTGACATGTTACAACACTCTGACATGTTACAACACTCTGACATGTTACAACACCCTGACATGTTACAACACCCTGACATGTTACAACACTCTGACATGTTACAACACTCTGACATGTTACAACACCCTGACATGTTACAACACTCTGACATGGTACAACACTCTGACATATTACAACACTCTGACATGTTATAACACCCTGACATGTTACAACACTCTGACATGTTACAACACTCTGACATGTTACAACACTCTGACATATTACAACACTCTGACATGTTACAACACCCTGACATGTTACAACACCCTGACATGTTACAACACTCTGACATGTTACAACACTCTGACATGTTACAACACCCTGACATGTTACAACACTCTGACATGTTACAACACTCTGACATGTTACAACACTCTGACATGTTACAACACTCTGACATGTTACAACACTCTGACATGTTACAACACTCTGACATGTTACAACACTCTGACATGTTACAACACCCTGACATGTTACAACACTCTGACATGTTACAACACTCTGACATGTTACAACACTCTGACATGTTACAACACCCTGACATGTTACAACACGCTGACATGTTACAACACTCTGACATGTTACAACACTCTGACATGTTACAACACTCTGACATATTACAACACTCTGACATGTTACAACACTCTGACATGTTACAACACTCTGACATGTTACAACACTCTGACATGTTACAACACTCTGACATGTTACAACACTCTGACATATTACAACACTCTGACATGTTACAACACTCTGACATGTTACAACACTCTGACATGTTACAACACCCTGACATATTACAACACTCTGACATATTACAACACTCTGACATGTTACAACACTCTGACATGTTACAACACTCTGACATGTTACAACACCCTGACATGTTACAACACTCTGACATGTTACAACACTCTGACATGTTACAACACTCTGACATGTTACAACACTCTGACATGTTACAACACTCTGACATATTACAACACTCTGACATGTTACAACACTCTGACATATTACAACACTCTGACATGTTACAACACTCTGACATGTTACAACACTCTGACATATTACAACACTCTGACATGTTACAACACTCTGACATGTTACAACACTCTGACATGTTACAACACTCTGACATGTTACAACACCCTGACATGTTACAACACTCTGACATGTTACAACACTCTGACATGTTACAACACTCTGACATGTTACAACACTCTGACATGTTACAACACTCTGACATGTTACAACACTCTGACATATTACAACACTCTGACATGTTACAACACTCTGACATGTTACAACACTCTGACATGTTACAACACTCTGACATGTTACAACACTCTGACATGTTACAACACTCTGACATGTTACAACACTCTGACATGGTGCGTATGGCAACAGTGACAGGGTAGGAAGATGTGGATGACGAGCCTACGCTTGGTGTTTCCTGGCGTGGCAAGTCGGGGTCCGCTGATGGTGAGGTCGTATCCCATATCTACGCCGATTGTCAACCTTGGTTTGTCTGTACCTGTACCCTGCTCAACGGTTTACAGACAATACCTAATCTAATAGCTTAATGTTATAACTCAACTCACTCACTGGCATATGTTAGATATCCAACCCGTTCATTAACCAATTGTTGACCCGTGAAGATCCGGGTAATAATAGGTCTTGAGCAACCAATGATTGGCGTAAGAGGCGACGAACGGGTTCAGGCGGTCAGGCTCGCTGACTTGGTCGATGCATGTCATCGTATCCCAACTGCGTAGATCGATGTTCACGGTGTCAATCAATGGATTGTCTGGTCCAGACTATCATTTACAGACATACATTATATAGCTGGTGCAGCGTTAAACCAAAACCAAACAAACGAAATGTGGACACCTGGACTACCACAGAACGCATGAAGCGTGTGCCTACTCACGGTTATTGTCATACAATATGAGGCTCCTGTCGATGTCTTTAGCAGAAACAACACCGTCTCCATCACTGTCGTCGTACTCCACCATGCGGTCCAACTTCTCCTCGAACGTCTCTGGAGGGTTGCAGCTGTAGCCGCTGAAGGCGAGCATAGGCGACATGGGGTTATTGTCAGATAGATAGATATATATATACGGTTTCCGAGCTACCAATTTCATCTTGCGGAATATGGCTTAGTTTTCTTCGCTACTTGAGGGTCGGGGATTTAGACATCACACCTCGTTGTACCGGGCTTTTGGGGGAACATATACTGTTCATGTTAAGTAGGGGATATGTCTCTTCAATTGGCAATCCAATTAATACTGCCAATTAATAAAACTTTAGGTCGGTGCACATACTGGACTGTAGGTTTCCGCAGGATGGGTTATGGTGAGCTATTTCCGAGCATTAAAGTTTAGTCATTGACTGTAGCAATGAGGTGAGGTGAAATAGGGTTCAATGTCGCGTCCAAGAGCATTGCACTTATATAGCGACGTGCGTGTATTTGTGTGGCTGCTTGTACTAGTCTGGACTAATGCCGATTTTATAGTGCTAGTCCACCGAGGTACCATGTCGCAATTTAACATGATTACACCACTCAGACACAGTAAACTGACTCCGAGCCGACCAGACCTTGTTTTAGCCCCTTAACGTCGAGCGCCAGTTAAGGTAACAACAAGTACCACCTTTTAACGCCTTTGGTCTGATCGAACGCCCAACCTTCCGCTCTCCGAGCGGACGCTCTACCACTAGACCACGGAGGAGGCGGTCTTAATACTGGAGCACTACCGTAGCGATACGACGGCCTCTAGAGAACGGAATCAGTGTATGGCGTCCAGCTTTGCTCAGTCTAACTAGGTATTTGACGTAAAACAGAGAGAGGGCGGTGGGGTAGCCTAGTGGTTAAAGCGTTCGCCGAAGACCCAGGTTTGATTACCCACATGGACACAATGTGTGAAGCCCATTGCTGGTATCCCCCGTCGTGATATTGGTCGTATATTGCTAAAAGTGATGTAAAACCATGCCCGTTTACTCCATAAATAGAGACCATCACTGAAAGATTTTCAAGGATTTAGTGAGAGTGAGTTTAGACCCTCTTTGTACATTGTTGCAGTTATATCAGGGTGTAGGAGGAAAGCCCAAAGTGATGCCTTGGTGGAGCCCACGAGCTCGACAAACCTACAATCATAATTACAGTCTTAGCTTAGCTTCGAACCGACCACCATCAATACTGGGCTGATTGTGGGATGCAACTCCAATAGTGTTAGCCATACAAATTGATCATTATTTGTGAAAACGACCTTCTACCTATCTTTGACATAGCGTAACGTTAACGTGGCGGGTACGTTGCCGAGAGCTGAGCTGCTGGGACGTGTCGCTATTATGACATGGGCTGGCTGTATTCATGAACTAAATACGATGAGGTAATGAATAGGAATGAAGTATTTACTGCCCACAGTCAGGTGACTGACACGCCTGATGGGCAAGGACGCATACATATCATTTCTTCGTAAAGGGGAATGGCGGGATGCCCCCAGCTCCATCTCCCAGATGATGACAGTTACAGAGATGGTACTTTGTGTTCGTGTTAACTAATGTCAGGGGGCTGGAGTTCTCACGTGTCGGGGTGTGCAAGGGCTGCCACCACCAGCAGGGTGAGGAAGGGGAGACCCGGGTACAGTCGCCACGCCGTCATCAGGTTGTGCGCGTCTAGAAGAGAGACAGATCAGTTAAAGTGAGTGAGTATGTCATGACTTTAGGTCGCTTACACGAGTATGGTAGTAACAAACCATACAAGATAAAATCAGAGAAATCGTTGGATTCGAACCTAGACTTATAGAATTTTACAGTGGAATTAGCAGTAATAGAAGTGGTAGTAGAAGTAGCAGCAGTAGAAGTAGTAGTGATGTGATCATGGGACGCCACTCAGCACAGCGAATTGTGACGTCTGAGATGACTGGGCCACCCAGTAGATGAAGTAGTGGTGGAGAGTGAGTGAGTGAGTTGTGTTGAACGCCGCTTTTTACAGTATTTCAGTTATATCACGGCGTGTCAGCTTAATGTGGGAGGAAAGCCCGAAGTGATGCAGGTCTCAGACGTTTACCACTTCGGTGAAACCCACGAGCACGGGTTTCATAGGTTTCTGGCATGCCCAAGGGACACAACTCTGCACAGCGAATTGCGGCGCCTAAGACGACTTAGACAGCTATACGACCCAAGCAGTGATTGATATCATGAACATCGATCTACGCATTTTGGTTACCAGTCCACCGACCTCGATAGTCACCTCTTACGACAAGCAATTCTAACCCTAGTAGTAGTAGTAGTAATAGCAGTAGTAGCAGTAGTTATAGTAGCAGTAGTAGTGGTAGTAGTAGTAGTAGTAGTAGTTGTAGTAGTAGTAGTAGTAGTAGTAGTAGTAGTAGTAGTAGTAGTAGTAGTAGTAGTTGTAAAAATTACTAAGCACAAATTGACAACAACAAGTTGATGACGTAGGGAGATACACGTTCAGGAGAATAGCAATATGTATTTTCATAACCACACAGGAATATGACTTGTTTGCGGTGATACATCTCAAGAATGGGAGTTCAGATAATATATTATAGTAATTGCGCTAAAACTACCCTCGCACCACACAGTGTGTCAGTGAGATTCTGGTTGGAGGTATGCATTGTTAATGTTGAGGAGCGCACAACGAGACAGTGGGTGAATGCGTCTGGCCACGTCAACATTATTATAGCGGCGTATTATTACAGATCCACGATCAGGAACTTTGGTAATCCGGAACGGTACTGTCCCGATTAATGTGTGTCCTTTATTAAAGGATTACCTGGTATGAATTGTGTTTTTATGACAACTCAAATGTCGCTTAACACGAAGTAGGGGGAAATAAACAAATACCCCTGTCTGTGGATCGTAAATATCTTTACCATGTACAGCTGCGTTCAGATCACCATGGGAAACGTGGACGGGCGATGAGTTGGATGTAAATTATCTTCAAATATATTTATTAGTCACAACTATGTAAACTTCCGACACCCGAATTAAAAAATAATGGACAGAAGTAACTAACCTTTAGGGCCTTGTATATCCTGTAGACCGTAGATAGGGTTCTGAGTTTCCCCGCCTTAGTTTGGGGACCAAGTAGTGTTTGTTTGGATACCCGAGGCGGCTACGTAAACAATTTTGTTTGACCTAAGATTTCAAAGGGGTATGTATAGGCGTTGTCCCTGCTGTAGTCGTCCTATCACGCCTCGGTGGTAATGGCGTTACGATGATTGCAAAGATCATCGCCAGCATTGACATTAACTTTAAAATTGGGACTAACATTCTTTTAAGTAATTCATTTTCTTATATTAAGCTGTATTTTTTTTTTATTTCACTGAGCGATTTGAGTTTCAGGTCAGTATATGAGATTTCTTTTCACAAATTATATTCCTTTTCTGAATCCAACCCGAGTCTCCTGTACGACTGTCAAACACACTGCCCACTGACCTTTACCCATCTATTGGCCTGGTAACTGGTAATCAACTCTCTGGTAAATAACACATTTCAGGGGTCACGCAGGGACACATCTCAAATCGCGGAGGGCAAATGTCAGCGACGCTCACTACATTACTGTGTCCGGGAAAGTGAGTATTTACACATGTTCCTGGACGTTTTATAAACAATGTGAAGTAAGTAGATTAATGGGTTGTAAATAGGTAAGAGTTTTCAAGAGCTCTAGCAAAATTCATTGCTAAATTCTGATGAAATACCAACTCTTTGGTTCCACTGTCTCATACTCGTTGCCCTGACGCCATCATCTGCGGCCAATGTCCGAACAACCGTCCAATCCAACTGTCACAACAACCACCATCTCACACAACTATCCCCAGCCTCATCTACCCTACCACGTCATCACGACATCCACCATCTCACACAACTATCCCCAGCCTCATCTACCCTACCACGTCATCACGCACCCACCATCTCACACAACTATCCCGACCCTCATCTACCCAACCACGTCATCACGACACCCACCATCTCACACAACTATCCCGACCCTCATCTACCCTACCACGTCATCATGACACCCACCATCTCACACAACTATCCCGACCCTCATCTACCCAACCACGTCATCACGACACCCACCATCTCACACAACTATCCCGACCCTCAACTACCCTACCACGTCATCATGACGACCACCATCTCACACAACTATCCCCAGCTTCACCTACCCTACAACGTCATCATGACGACCACCATCTCACACAACTATCCCGACCCTCATCTACCCTACCACGTCATCATGACGACCACCATCTCACACAACTATCCCCAGCCTCATCTACCCTACCACGTCATCATGACGACCACCATCTCACACAACTATCCCGACCCTCATCTACCCTCATCTAGTTATTTTAATGTTTTGTTTGTTTCCCTGAGCACCTCACAGCTGAGGGTAACGGAAGTGTCACGTCTGCAGCCACGCCCTCATTATTGGTCACCTTTCTATTATGAAGATACCCTTTTCTTTCTATATATATTCAGATACATCAATTTTTACCGGATACATCTGTTGGCAGTGCTCTTTTGTTTAACTTCCGAAAGCGAGCAGGGTAGGTCTTAAATCTCACATTCTGGAACTTCGTTTACGTTAAATAAGACAGTTCATACTCTCATTAATCTGACATTAAATACAGTATAGTTCCAACCATCAGTTCATAAATCGGCCACATGTATAGCCCCATACACTCTCTATACCGACTTTTACAGGATCCACGTCACGTGAAAGGTCACCTGCACTGCAGAATGGTGAGCAGTATTTGATCATGAATCTACACCGCTGACAGGGCGTGACTTGATCAACAGTTGCATGGCGGCACGACCAAGTTCTGTACATGTCGGGTAGATCAATTATATATCTAAATACATTAAACGTCAACAGACGGCTGTCACGATATAGCAAGAGGGCTCATAAAAAGTGTAGTACTGATGACCGTAAATTCTTTCAAACGACTTCATACACACAAGGGGGCTCATGATCAGGTGGCCCTGTCGTCTGAGGCGCCACAATTCCCTGTACAGAGTTGCGTCCTATAGACGCACCAGAAACCTTTGATCGTTGGTTCGAATTCCAGATTCGCCCTGAGTATGTGTCTAGGTTTGTCAGCACCTGTTCTCGTTGGCTCACCAAAACGAACTGAAATACTTTTGAAGACGGTGTCAAACTCATACTCACTGTCGTGTCTTGACAATCCACAGTGATGTACTTCACGCTCAGCTCGAGGGTAGAGACAAGATGTGTTTACCGTAAGAGTCGACTAAAGAGGATCAGGCGCGCGTGGATCGTTGCTCATGCTGCCATACAGTTGCAGGTCACCCCTGTCATGACATATAGCCATGATATAGCTGGGATATGATTGCGACGTTAAACAACATTCACTCAATCCTTCTTGTGGGCTTTCAGATGCTTCGTGTTAGGCCCAGGGAAAAGCTTTTGGTGAAGGTTTTTTATTTCAATTTTAAAGGTTATAACTTATAATGTTCAGCAGGTAGTGTCCGTTGGGGCCGTGCTGGGACTCTTTAAAGGGCCAGTAAAATCAACATAGCAATTTTGCAAATATAAGTACTTTGGGGCATACGTAATCACAAATGCTTGATCAAATTCTAATTTGACAAACGGTAATAGCGTAAAACGAAAGATTCCGCCACTGAGAGGATTCCCCTTTCTGCTCAATTTTAAAGATGATGACAATCTGGCCGACGCCCTGTCTGCCTGCTTCTGCCTCATCTGTCTGCTCATCCTCATGATTACTCTGTCCACTTACAGCTTATAGCACCTAAGTAACAACACTGAGGATGCCACGCCCTCACGTAGGTTTGTTTTGGAAGCCGATTACGTAGCGTGTGATGTCAGCACTTTCACTTGGACATTTAAAAACATTCTATTATGATTTTCTTTCTCGAAAATTGGCTAGATGTTTCTTCGAAAATTGGTATTCGCAACAAAATCGTCATCATTTTTTGCACTTTACCTGCCCTTTAAGACAGACTTACGATAGTCGTGGATAGATCGTGGAACAGGGCCTGGGTGGGTGGTGTTTTTTCTTTTATGATAAGCCGACTTTAGATAATTCCAAGGAGAGGTCGGTTGGGTACCTTGTGAAACATCGCTGACTGTCAAAGGGAATACAAAGCTTGAATAACGTCCCTCGCAGTCGGAGCACGATTATAGTCACAGTATGCCACGGATCAGCATGTATTCATGATGACGTACCACTGAGACTACTGACACGTACCACTGAGACACTACTGACACGTACCACTGAGACTACTGACACGTACCCTACTGAGACTACTGACACGTACCACTGAGACTACTGACACGTACCCTACTGAGACACTACTGACACGTACCGCTGAGACTACTGACACGTACCCTACTGAGACACTACTGACACGTACCCTACTGAGTCACTACTGACACGTACCCTACTGAGTCACTACTGACACGTACCCTACTGAGACTACTGACACGTACCCTACTGAGACTACTGACACGTACCCTACTGAGACTACTGACACGTACCCTACTGAGTCACTACTGACACGTACCCTACTGAGTCACTACTGACACGTACCCTACTGAGTCACTACTGACACGTACCCTACTGAGTCACTACTGACACGTACCCTACTGAGTCACTACTGACACGTACCCTACTGAGTCAATACTGACACGTACCCTACTGAGTCACTACTGACACGTACCCTACTGAGTCAATACTGACACGTACCCTACTGAGTCACTACTGACACGTACCCTACTGAGACTACTGACACGTACCCTACTGAGACTACTGACACGTACCCTACTGAGACTACTGACACGTACCCTACTGAGTCACTACTGACACGTACCCTACTGAGTCACTACTGACACGTACCCTACTGAGTCACTACTGACACGTACCCTACTGAGTCACTACTGACACGTACCCTACTGAGTCACTACTGACACGTACCCTACTGAGTCAATACTGACACGTACCCTACTGAGTCACTACTGACACGTACCCTACTGAGTCAATACTGACACGTACCCTACTGAGTCAATACTGACACGTACCCTACTTAGACACTACTGACACGTACCCTACTGAGTCAATACTGACACGTACCCTACTGAGTCATTACTGACACGTTCCCTACTGAGTCACTACTGACACGTACCCTACTGAGACACTACTGACACGTACCGCTGAGACTACTGACACGTACCCTACTGAGACACTACTGACACGTACCCTACTGAGTCACTACTGACACGTACCCTACTGAGTCACTACTGACACGTACCCTACTGAGACTACTGACACGTACCCTACTGAGTCACTACTGACACGTACCCTACTGAGACTACTGACACGTACCCTACTGAGTCACTACTGACACGTACCCTACTGAGTCACTACTGACACGTACCCTACTGAGTCACTACTGACACGTACCCTACTGAGTCACTACTGACACGTACCCTACTGAGTCACTACTGACACGTACCCTACTGAGTCAATACTGACACGTACCCTACTGAGTCACTACTGACACGTACCCTACTGAGTCAATACTGACACGTACCCTACTGAGTCAATACTGACACGTACCCTACTCAGACACTACTGACACGTACCCTACTGAGTCAATACTGACACGTACCCTACTGAGTCATTACTGACACGTACCCTTCTGAGTCACTACTGACACGTACCCTACTGAGACACTACTGACACACTTCAGGCACTACTGACACGTACCACTGAGACACTACTGACACGTACCCTACTGAGACACTACTGACACGTACCTTACTGAGTCACTACTGACACGTACCCTACTGAGTCACTACTGACACGTACCCTACTGAGTCACTACTGACACGTACCCTACTGAGACACTACTGACACACTACAGGCACTACTGACACGTACCACTGAGACACTACTGACACGTACCCTACTGAGACACTACTGACACACTACTGACACGTACCACTGAGACACTACTGACACGTACCACTGAGACGCTACTGACACGTACCCTACTGAGACACTACTGACACACTACAGGCACTACTGACACGTACCACTGAGACGCTACTGACACGTACCCTACTGACACACTACTGACATACTACTGAGACACTACTGACACACTACTGACATACTACTGAGACACTACTGACACACTACAGGCACTACTGACACGTACCACTGAGACACTACTGACACACTACTGACATACTACTGAGACACTACTGACACGTACCCTACTGACACTTTACTGACATACAACTGAGACACTACTGACACGTACCCTACTGACACACTACTGACATACTACTGACGCACTACAGGCAAACTACTGACACACTACTGACACGTAAACTACTGACACACTTCTGACACGTAACCTACTGACACACTACTGTCGCTCTAAAGGCACACTACAGACACTACTGACACGTACACAACTGGCACACTTCTGACACACTACTGACGCACTACAGGCACACGACTGACACACTACTGTCACACTACTGTCACACTACTGACACGTACACTACTGACACACTTCTGACACACTACTGACACGTACACTACTGTCACACTTCTGACACACTACTGACACACTACTGACACACTACTGACGCACTGCTGACACGTACAATACTGTCACACTTCTGACACACTACTGACACGTACCCTACTGTCACACTTCTGACACACTACTGACACACTTCTGACGCACTGCTGACACGTACACTACTGACAAACTACTGTCACACTTCTGACACACTACTGACACACTACTGTCACACTTCTGACACACTACTGACGCACTGCTGACACGTACACTACTGACACACTACTGACGCACTACTGACACACTTCTGACACACTACTGACACACTTCTGACACACTACTGACACACTACTGACGCACTGCTGACACGTACAATACTGTCACACTTCTGACACACTACTGACACGTACCCTACTGTCACACTTATGACACACTGCTGACACACTGCTGACACACTACTGACGCACTGCTGACACGTACACTACTGACACACTACTGTCACACTTCTGACACACTACTGACACACTACTGTCACACTTCTGACACACTACTGACGCACTGCTGACACGTACACTACTGACGCACTTCTGACACACTACTTACACACTACTGACACACTACTGACGCACTACTGACACACTTCTGACACACAACTGACACACTACTGACACACTTCTGACACACTACTGACGCACTGCCGACACGTACACTACTGACACACTTCTGACACGTACACTACTGACACACTACTGACAGGCTTCTGACACACTACTGACACACTTCTGACACACTACTGACACATTACTGTCACACTACTGACGCACTACTGACGCACTGCTGACACACTACTGACACACTACTGACACACTACTGTCACACTTCTGACACACTACTGACACACTTCTGACACACTACTGACGCACTTCTGACACGTACACTACTGACACACTTCTGACACACATCTGACACACTCCTGACACACTACTGTCACACTTCTGACACACTACTGACACACTACTGTCACACTACTGTCACACTTCTGACACACTACTGACACGTACACTACTGACACACTTCTGACACACTACTGACGCACTGCTGACACGTACACTACTGACACACTTCTGACACACTCCTGACACACTTCTGACACACTACTGACACACTGCTGACACGTACACTTCTGACACACTTCTGACACACTTCTGACACACAACTGTCACACTACTGTCACACTTCTGACACACTACTGACACGTACACTACTGACACACTTCTGACACACTACTGACGCACTGCTGACACGTACACTACTGACACACTTCTGACACACTCCTGACACACTACTGACGCACTGCTGACACGTACACTACTGACACACTTCTGACACACTTCTGACACACAACTGACGCACTGCTGACACACTACTGTCACACTTCTGACACACTACTGACACGTACACAACTGACAAACTACTGACGCACTGCTGACACGTTCACAACTGACACACTACTGACGCACTGCTGACACGTACACTACTGACACACTACTGACGCACTTCTGACACACTACTGACACGTACACTACTGACGCACTGCTGACACGTACACTCCTGACACACTCCTGACACACTACTGACACGTTCACTTCTGACACACTACTGACACACTACTGACGCACTGCTGACACGTACACTCCTGACACACTACTGACGCACTGCTGACACACTACTGACACTTACACTACTGACGCGTACACTACTGACACACTTCTGACACACTACTGACGCACTGCTGACACGTACACTACTGACACACTCCTGACACGTACACTACTGTCACACTTCTGACACACAACTGACACACAACTGACACACTACTGACACACTTCTGACACACAACTGACGCACTTCTGACACACTACTGTCACACAACTGACACACTACTGACACACTTCTGACACACAACTGACACACTACTGACACGTACACTACTGACACACTTCTGACACGTACACTACTGTCACACTTCTGATAAACTACTGACACACTTCTCACACACAACTGACACACTGCTGACACGTACACTACTGACACACAACTGACACACTACTGACGTGTACACTACAGGAACACTACTGACTCACTTCTGACGACACTACTGGGGCACTACATGCACACTACTGACACGTACACTACCGGCACACTTCTGACACACCACAGGCACACTACTGACGCACTACAGACATACTACTGACGCACTACAGGCAAACTACTGACGCACTACAGGCACACTACTGACGCACTACAGGCATACTACTGACGCACCACAGGCACACTACTGACACACTACAGGCACACTACTGACGCACTACAGGCACACTACTGACACACCACAGGCACACTACCGACACACCACAGGCATACTACTGACACACTACTGACATAAGTTACTGGTTAATAGAATGGTCGGAATCCCCACAAGACTTGTAGCACTGCACAAAAATAACAGTTGGGCTGTATGTAAATGAAATAAGTGAGCCAAATTTCTAAAATTGTATATTATATTTGAAACATGGACTTTTGTCAAAATTCATTAACAAGGGTTATTGTCTCGCACCTACAGGCTTTTGCCCAGTCCCGACGTGAGTTAATGGCATGGTGTGTCTTCTTCCGAAAGCCATCTTCCCGAGACAAAGGATTAACTGACGTTAAAAGTCCACCCTTGCCGAACTGCGCTAGAATTCCGTGGCACTATTGTAGCGCCACCAGAGGCTATTACTAGTTATGTCCTTTCTATTACTCTCCTATTGACCAATCAGATTCCATCTATCATATTACTTTCACTTGCTTCAAATAAAATGATGCCTTGTTGACGGTAAAAATACTGCAAATCCTGCAGTCGACCTAAATCTGCACAGAAGTTTACACACCGGATGTCGATTTCGTAACGCGGCTTTGATTGGACAATATATTGACTCGTTAGAGGAACCTGGACTTTTGTAGTCGGCGAACTCCCTTGCTTCGGGGACATGTCCTTAAGTAAAATACCTCTGTTTGTTACTGGGATACAAAAGAGTGTGGTGTTAATAAAAAAAACAGTGAATCCTCATAGACTCCATTATCGTGGTATACCGGATGACGTTTCCAGGGTAGACAAGGTGAAATGCTCATTCTCCCTGGAGATCCCAGATGAAACCAAAGTTTCCATATTTACCCTTGTCAAGCACCGCCACGTAGCTGTTGAAATTGGAAGTTAGACGCTGTATAAATCAATAATTATTATGATTACATTAATGAATTGTCCCCACACGGTCCTTGTGAGCACGGAACACTGGATAACTCGAACTATGTCCGAGGATCTCCACAACGTGGAGTCAACCAAGTTTTACCATGTTTACTGCAGGTACCATGGGTACAGTAGCAGTTTTCTGTACTCGCCTCGGATCCATTAGCAGATCTTATGTACATATTGTAGATCAATATAACCAGGCAAGGGGGATTTCATAAGGCCATACAAATACTACTGAAACTTAAGACGGTCTGTACACAATTGAAAAATTGAATATTGCCCAAGATAAACAACTTGAGTCATAATATAAACATTTACCTAGGAACGGATTTGTGAGTGCATGGAAGAGGTGTGTTGTATATTCTGGCTCATATCATTTGCTGGTGCTTTGTTTGGATTTTTAACTCCGCACTCAGCAATCACTCAAATTTATGACGATGATATGTAAATAATCATACAGTCCAGTGATTGACATTATGAGCAGAGAGGTCGGTGTACGATGATAAGCAGAAAACAAAGTCCGATCCCAAAAGTCGCCTCTTACGACCTAACATAGGGTATTCTATTATAAAGGTGATATTATAAAGTGACAGCTGAATGCAGGAGGAAAACTCACAATCATGCTGGTATGAGACGTATATCATGGCTATGATGCTGGTATTAGATGTTTATCACGGCTATGATGCTTGAATGAGACGTATATCACGGCTATGATGCTGGAATGAGACGTACATCACAGCTATGATGCAGGTATGAAAGGTACATCACGGCTATGGTACAGGTATTAGATGTGTATCACGACTATGATGCAGGTATTAGACGTACATCACGGCTATGATGCAGGTATTAGATGTATATCACGGCTATGATGCAGGTATTAGACGTACATCACGGCTATGATGCAGGTATTAGATGTATATCACAGCTATGATGTAGGTATTAGGCGTATATCACGGCTATGATGCAGGTCTTAGTTGAGTTAAACATAGCCTGAACAGAGTGTCAGTTGCCTATCAGCTCTACATGTCAGATGGTTGCAAGATATGATGCAAGTTGGAGACTGTTACCCTGCGTGTATTATTGTAGATAAGCAGCATGAATATTGATAAATTATACTTGATATCTGAAAACTACATCAACAAAACACTGAATATAACACTATGGTTGTGCCATATAAACGCTTTATGTGAAGCCAACAAAAGAACGAAGCCAGAGTGATATTTTGGAATCTTGTATTACAATGAGGCATAAATAATAGCAGCAATGCAAATATAAACAATATCAGACGTAAAACAGCATCAGCATACAAGATGAGGCTTTGTAGACTGTCCCTTACTACACTGATACTAATGTAATAAATACAATCATAAATACCAAGCAGGAAATATGCACCTTGGCTATACTGACGGCGATATATATATACACTGGTAAGAGCAGGAGTATACAGAGCTTGGACACAAGCAGCAGCACTGGGGAGCTAGTTCACAAGCAGGATTAACAAATAGTGAGGGATAGTGGGATAAAGCTGGACACTCCACCATAATGTCAGCAGCCATGATTAAACAAATGACAATAGAATATTCATATATTTACAAATTTTACAGTTTTCCTATAAAATAATGCCCACAAAAACTGACTCCACTAGAAGATACATTATGGTTTAAACTGTAAAACTGATATCCAGGTTAAAATCAGGAGGAAAGGAAACCTCTTGAGACATGTCTTGGGTACTTATTGATGTCTAGATTATTTATTCAATAACAAGAAAAATCTTGAAGAAAAATATTAACAAACTTCAAGTCTATTCAGCAGTATCTATACTTTGAGAGAGTTAATATCTTTATCTTATCAACGAGGGGCATCTGACTGAGCATAAACCTGCTATTAACTGGAAGCACTCATAAAATCTCCAACAAGTGAGTTGGCCACCGCAGGATTTAGACACTGACTAGATTTATTTCTTATATGATTACTGACTGGCAAGAAAAGTTTATGTTTAACTCCTCAGTATCAAATAAATACTTAAAAGTGTCAAATTATTTCATGTATGAATATACGAAACAAAGGTCACATTTAGAGGTTGGAGACACTACAAACAGAGTGACGTTGACAAACCAAGCTCTGTAATAAGCTTGAATCTAGGATTTCAACTCACAATCAGCATATCTGGGACACAACGAAAAGTGCAACATTTTATGCCATTGGGTCCTACACTCCCACTACTGACTCAAACTAACAATAAACCTGACCCTAACACATCTATACTCTACATTTACTGATGGGGGGGAAATCATGACAACAGAAAATTACCAGAAGCTGAGTTCAATGTATAAAGTGCTCCATGAACCAACAAGCAAGAATATTTGTGTGTTTCGAGGAAACGCTTTATACTTGTAAAACACATGCTACACAAATGTTTGGAATCCTTCAGGCACATCATGTCAGATACGTGCTTCCTGTTTGAGGAGATCCCTTATTTCTCTCAATCAATATACATGAAGTCCTTTACACTCCAGCCGGCTGATACACAAGCTGCAGCTGACCAGGGACCCTATGTTAATACACATGTACCAGTAGTGGACTGACAAAAAGTTGTGGAGCATGTAACAAGACAGGCTTACAGCCCTTAATGAGATACCGAGATATTTGAAAACAATTAGGTAATATATTTTATTGAGGCTGAAGCTGTTCCCTAATGCACTGTGATTATAAAGTAAAAATTATTTTTTGTGTTCACTACTTTGTTCACTTCCTGATATCTAAATGATGTTTGTTCACTTCCTGATATCTAAATGTTTGTTCACTTCCTGGTGTCTAAATGATGTGCTTGCTTCCTGGTGTCTGAATGATGTTTGTTTATTTACTTGTGTCTAAATTATGTTTGTTCACTTCCAGGTGTCTAAAAGATGTTTGTTCACTTCCTGATATCTAAATGATGTGCTCGCTTCCTGGTGTCTAAATCATGTTTGTTCACTTCCTGGTGTCTAAATGATGTTTGTTCACTACCTGCTTGTTCCAATCATGTAAGAACAGTGTAGTTGACTCTATTCATAGTCAAGATTCACAACACAACTATGGGGTGAACAAGGCCAGATATGAATATGTACTAGATGACGCACACAAGGGAGGCAACAAATTCAAGATGACACTAGGTGTTCATAAAACAGGTGGACCAATGCACTAGAATTACCTGAGGACTTGTGCTAAGTCTCATCATCATGACAGGTGTTTAATCTCTATCAAGTACATGAAAATATCATTTTACCCGTTTTATAACTAGATCTGAAAAAAAGATACACCATATACGAGGTAATTATCAAATGGTCTTGTCATCCTGACTCGTTTCAGCCACAGTAACCATGGAACAGGAAACAATAGCAACAATAAATGGATACAGGGGCAAAGAGGTACCAAATATATAGATAGTCAATAAACTACCCAAGTAACCATGGCAACTGAATGATTAAGTACCTTACACTGATTGTACGTTAACATCTGAAGCAGAAATATGCATACTCTAAACACAAAACAAACCTCATTACTTACTACACAAGGTGGTTAAATCTACAAAAGTGTATAAAAAACTAGTTTTCATGGCGCTGCTAAAATATATGGAAAGTGTATGTGAATTGTACTGTAGACTTTATGGCATTTCAATCAATATTTTCTGTTGATCCTTTGATGGCTAGGAATGACCCGCTGATTTACAAAAAAAAAGTAAATTAACTGATCATTCATCTCTTGCTGGGCCGCCACGTGCATATTTCATAACACACATTTCACCTCACTTCAAACCTGGATTTAGATTGAATAATTACCCAGACACAAGAAATACAGAATGAGAACCTTTATCAGGTAATCTGCTACCACCTATCAGGTGCTACCACTAATTATACCGGTAATAAATTCATTAACTGAGCATCAAGCTAATGATGACAAATACACAAGTGTAGGGTTATACCAGGAAACATGGATGACAACAAGGGAGTAGTAAACGTATTATCCATGCAATCCGAAAATGATTTCACTGCAGGGATACTTTTTTTTAAGTATCCCTGCAGAGGCCAGTGTCAGACAGCGGAGAAGAAGCCGAAGATTAGTGCCCCTTCAATGTCAAGTGCCAGGTAGGGTATTAACAAGTACCATATTTTAACATATTTTGCTATGTTGCAGGCAGAGATAGAACTACCGACCTTCGGCTCTCCAGACTGACAACTAATTTGATCTGTGGAGTTGATAATAATAACAACAACAACAGGGGTGGAAGGTTTCCCTGCAGGCTACAGTGCATGGGTCAAGGTGATGTGGTGCAATACAGTCCATGGGCACAACTCTCCCACTGCCCCATGCTCAATGCAAATTGGCAGTTTCATTGCATGTAGATAGCCCATTGTTCTCACCCAGGTTTCCTTCAGTTAGCAGTGATAGTTGTATGGACTAAGGATGAAATTGTGTGGCCGCAAATATATTGTCTCCCGCAAATTAGGACAGATGCATCAAAAACGATTTGATAGAATTGAGAGCATATTATTGCACAATCTCTTGAAACTATCCTACAAGGACATGTTTTATGAGTGAGAGATCAAATTTAATGTCACACTGGCAGTTCAGAAATGCAGTTGTTTTTTGGTAACTGTTGTTTGATGAAGTTAATAGGAAATGTTGACACAAACAGTGCCAAATACAGTCTCTCCAATACCAAATTATGTCCTTATATTATTAAGAAGCTATATTACACCAAATATCAACATCTCTTAAGCAGAATCAACGAAAGTATATCCACAAATAAAAGCTTAAACTATTTAGAAAAGCTGGGTCCATCAGACAAAATCCCTTAATTCTGTGCTGTATCAGCAATGCTTCTGTACAATGTATCAGCTGCAGGTGCTCGACAACACATTCAAGTCAAACACTGAGAAGGTCTCCTAACACAGTGGTGCAACATGGCCGCCACACAGAATGGCAGTATCAGTACACAGTAGATCACTGGACTAACCTGGCCTTCAGCCAGTCGGGCATGTCTTGCTGCACACTGCAGAAGTTACCACTAACACTGCTGCTGGGATTTAAAAACCTGGCTTTTCATGTGATTCAACACCACATTTCTAGAACTATGAAGAAACTTTACAGGCAACTGATTAAGAAAAAGTAAATGAAATAAACTGATTGAGAAACTTCACTAAAATACCATTTTGTACAAATATTAATTCTTTCATACCTTACACTAAAATATGACATATACATCTAAGCAGTTTATATAAACATCAAAGATACAAACATGTAATACGGTTTGTAAGAAAAAATCATTTTCATTTCATTTGTTCCATCCTACAAACATGTTTTCATACGTAACAATGCCTAGGCCATCCCAGGTGTAGATGATGCTAACTGTTTGAGAAGATCCTACACCAAAACAGTCTGTGTCTTCACACAATAGCTCACAGCCAGGAGGTGCTGCGGTCATCTAAATGTTGCTAGTTTGTTTGTTGATTAACGTCGCACTCAGCAATATTCCAGCTATATGAAGGCTGTCTGTAAATAATCGAGTCGGGACTAGACAATCCAGTGATGAGCATCGATCTACATAATTGGGATACAATGACATGCATCAACCCAGGCAATGAGCCCGACCACTCGATCCCGCTAGTCGCCTACCATGTACCATGTTTACTGATCTTAAAAGTTAGATGAAAATGCCGATATCATCATGGAAAACACTTCTAAAGACTTTTGGAATGGTCATATATTGCCTTTGGGTCATCTCTGTGAATGCTGTGAATGCCTTTAATCCTGAGCAGCAGAGAGGATGCAGTTAAGTGGCTGCAGTTGTTGGTGGCTATAGATGCAGTCTGTAGATGCAGACAGGACACTGTCCTGATGACTACCTTCATGCACACATAGGCAATCTCTGTCTCACAAACTCGGGCAAGTCCAGGACCAGCACTTGTCACGGCTGTTGTTGCTTAGCTCACCAAACATGGCCATGACAAAATGAGCAGCACTTAGTTTTCTATAACATACACAAAGAGAGTTCAGGCAGCACATCTTGATGATCAACCATCCTCAAATAACGCACAAGAAATGTGTTCCTCTCTCATACAAAACAGACAAAAACTGTACATTTGTTGCTAGCCTATGTGGGGAACATATTCCTTTCTTCTTTGAACAGACTGACAACTTAGTTGCCGAAGTCCCGACGTTCATGGCTGGGGGAATATATTCCTTTCTTCTTTGAACAGAATGACAACGTAGTTGCCAAAGTTCCAACGTTCATGGCTGGGGGAACATATTCCTGTCTTACAAACACATACATGAGAAATAAGATGTCTGTTATTCCCTTTGTTCTGACCAACACAGCAGGAACACATTGCTCTCTCGTTTCTCAAACATGGCCATGACTGTAACAAAGTGAGCAGCATCTACCGTCACATGAAGCCCCCCACCGAGAGGACGTCAAAACAAATGTCACACACCCGCACAGGCTTACTGAGATTGAACTTTATTATAGGCATGTCCTTGCTTGAGCACTTGGAACACAACAGGCGCCCACAATGACGACTGAAACAGATAAAGCATTGGCTCAAACTACATATTCTCAACATATTCAGATCAATAAACCAGATGTCTATCAGCAACTGATTGTAAATTTAAACCAAGTTCAGCACAAATTCCAACATTGCCTGCCATGCGTAAGTAATCAAGTTGGGGACAGGAAAACACTATCCGGGGTTAATGAAATCTTTAAGCAGAGAGAAATCGTATCTGAGCTAAGTTAGATTTTAGTGAGATTGTATCTTGTCATATCAACAACTGTTTCTCTTCTGGCATGTCTGCTGGTTAGAGAAGTTTATAAACCTTATAAATTTCTGGCGTAATCGATAAATAGTCTTGAAATATTTCAGTTGTACTAGAGTTTGTCAGCATAATGTCGGAGGACCGCCCCACGTGACGAGTCTTAGATGTTCACGACTTTTGGATTGTTTGTTGTATAACGCTGCCCTCAGCAATATACCAGCTATATTACGGCGGTCTGTAAATAGTCAAATCTGGGCAGACGATCCAGTGATTGACATCATGAGCATTGATCTACGCAAGTGGGATACATATCAGCAGAGCCTGACCACCCAATCCCCTTAGTCTTACAACAAGTATGGGTTGCTGAAGACCAATTCTTGGTTCTGCAAAACCAGGAGCACTGGGTGTGGTGCCAACAAACTAAGACTCATAGATTCTGGCACGCTCAAGGAGCACAACTCTGCACAGCAATTGCAGTACCTTACATGACTTAGGCACCCCTGTAAACAATGACGACTGAAACAGGTAAAGCATTGGCTCAAACTACACATTCTCAACATATTCAGATAAATATGATTGATGCAAGAGTACCAGGGTGCCGTTGTACAAAGCGGTCTCAGCAGTAAGGTGATCGTAACTCTCATACCTTAACACAGACTTACGACTGCCGTAGAGCCAAGGTTGTTGTGTACAACAGCACCCTGGTTATATAGCGGCCAGTTTGTTAGTTGTGCAGTGATGTCCACTTACCAGTGATGTTTCCTAGTTTTAATACTGAACTTCACCCCACACTCCAGGCAGATTTCACCCTCACTCCATGGGGGCTCCTTCGACAGCATATCTGCAGGCAAAAAACATTGGTTATCACATCTCCCCCAGCTCACTATGACCACAACAATAGCTAGGCCATATCTATTCTTCGGGGATGCTGAGAGCAACAGTATTCTAATTTTCTCGTAGACACTGAAAACAAAGGATTCTAAAGAAAGAACAATCCTGACATTCTTTCTTCTTTAACTGACAACACTTATCTTTCCTTTTCCATAAGATTTTACTGATTTCAGAGATGAAGTGTTTTGAGATGAAGTGTTTTGATACTGCATAGCCTTACAGAAGAGTATTTGAACATAATAGGCACCTAGTAGCCACAATGGTAGCCTAGTTCAGATAAAAACTGTGTTGCGCAGTGGAATACAAACAATTAAATAAAATTTCCCTTTCTGCAGTATGTGGGGAACAAAAAAGGGACTCTCTTGATACTGATGAAGTAATTCCGATATTAAATGTGAGGAACTAAACATTCCCCCTTCATAATTGACTTTTGTAAATCATAGATTGAAAACTATCTTCCTGAAAGCTAATCAAAGCCATTTGTTTCACTCGAAGAAGTCCATTCTAGTTTGCTGTTCTTTTCACTACTGACTATCTTGTCTTAACATCAACAAAAAACATGGCAATCATTTCCTGGATAGACCTTCAACGAGGCAACATCTGATCTCAGGAAACATCTTTTATCAGGGAAACATCTTGATCACAGAGAAACATCTTTTATGGGTAAAACATATTTAATCAGCAAAACCGCTTTAACCAGGGAAACATCTGACCTCAGGGAAACATCTTTTATCAGGGAAATGGGTTTTTCAGATTAAAAACGATGTTTTATTGGTCTGTTTTCAGTCGTACAAATTGGGTATCTCTCATACCCTCAGGTCTAGTCGCACGATTAAGAGGAAGCCAGAAGCTGGAATGTAAACATTAAACTTGTTTCCGTCCGGTTGCACACGCACCTCCCAATGACATGTCACAAATCTCGAAGAATAAGCCATCAAGCAGGAATGGACTGGATTACTTCCCTGTTGGGATGGCTGGGTGGGAACGTACGACTGAAAACAGACCAATAAAACATCGTTTTTAATCTGAAAAACCCATGTTTTAGTCTGTTTTCAGTCTTACAAATGGGTAGAATTCGACGGAACACTGGAAGGAGGGTCGGGAAAGTAATCAGGCAGTGACCACTTTCACGTCGAATGTACCAAGTTCCTCACCCCTGTAGTGACAATAGAACATTCGACCAGATGCACGGATGAGACAAGTTGTTTATCACGAACGCACAGCATGGTTAATGCTCTTCGACACACAACTAATTATCGATGCGACAGGCCAACTGCACGAGTCAGTTGAACTGCGATCGAAGTGTGGTCGACGAATAGTTTAGTTACAGAGCAACTCGCAGTATACAAGGTAACTAAAACAGCATGTTTTAATGCTCTTCGACTCACAACTAATTAGCGAAGCGACAGGACAACTGCACACGTCAGTTGAATTGCGATCGAAGTGTGGTCGGCGTATAATTCAGTTACAGAACAACTCGCCATAGTCAAGGTAACTAAAATAGCATGGTTAATGCTCTTCGACACACAACTAATTATCAATGCGACAGGACAACTGCACACGTCAGTTGAACCCGGATCAAAGTGAGGTCGGCGCATAATTTAGTTACAGAGCAACTCGCAGTATACAAGGTAACTAAAAAATACGAGCAGTACTATTAAGTATGGGAAGACGATGCATACACCGAATAACCATAATAAAAAACAGAAGTACTGCACGCAACAAAAAAAACATAAGAATGCGTACATTCACCAACAGCTTTTATTGTAACCTGTTATATGTCACGAAGTGTCGAGCAAAAACTCCAAAGTGAATAAAACACAAATTCACTGTCTTTTCTGAGAGATCTGTTGTGCCACCACGAGTGGACCAAACTGTTTGAGTCCTTCAACATCTTCTGTGGAGATATCTCTAAGATAATGCGAAGCAAACACTGAAGTAGATCTCCAAAAGCAGCCCTCCATAATAGCTTGTAGCGAACAATTACTGTGGAGTGCTAATGTTGAAGCGATGGCTCAAACTTCGTGCGAATGAGAGGAGGTGGGAGGTGCGAGTCCTTGCGCCTTGTAAGCTCTGAGAATTACCGATCTCAACCAAAATGAGAGAGTATTACGTGTAATCTCTTTCTTTGCATTGGTTGAGAGCGGTATGAACAGCCGTCGAAAATGTTGTCGTCGCTGTTCAGAACGCTGCAGGTAAATATGAAGCACATGAACAGGGTGAGATCAGCGTGATCATGAGGGCCCATAATGGCAGACAAGGAAGGAATGTGGAACATTCTCGAATCTTGGCCAGGAAGTTGATTTTTCGCTAAAAAATCCCATCTGAGACCAAGATGGACGTTGCCATGGTTATGCTGATCGAACGTAATCCGACCGACGTCAATGGCATGTATTTCCGAAATTCTCGCAGCCGTAGCCAGCGAGAGAAGGAAAGCCGTTTTCTGAGACAATAAGTCGAACGCGACCTGATCGAGAGGCTCGTAAGCCTGACTAGACAGGTTGCGCAGAACGACATTGAGGTCCCAGGCCGGCGGTCGGAATTTACGTGACTGATCTTCAACCATGAAGGCACGTAGAAACTTCTGCAACTCCGGTACTTTAGTGAGCTTGTCGCCCATAGGAGACGGCACCACTGAAGCCAAAGCTGCCAGATATGTCGAGATCGTCGACCCTTTCAGACGCCGAGATGACCGGAGAGAGACTAGGAACTCCGCCACCTTTGGTGGGGTCGCTACCGCCGGGTTGAAGCCATGAGACCTGGTGAAAATGGAGAAAGTGGTCCACTTGTCATTGTACAGCTTACGAGTCGTAACTCAATGTGCCGACGAGACAAGCTCTGCCGCTTTAGCCGAATAGCCTTTCTTCATTAACGAGGTCTTAAGCAAACCCAGGCGTGAAGCTGGAAGTTCTTTATCCCCGGATGCAAGTCGTCGGTGTGAGGATGAAGAAGGAGGTCGTCTCGATCTGGCAAGGGGAACTGTGGTTGATCGATGATCTGAAGAAGTTCAGGGAACCACGTTCTGGCCGGCCAATAAGGCGCGACCAAAAGCAGACGTAGGTTGGCCGTTTGACAAACTTTCACCAGTATCGATGGTAACAGCACCGTTGGCGAAAACGCGTAAGCATCTAGACCCTCCCACGATATCGCTAGAGCGTCGTGGTCCCATGCCCGTGGGAGGCGGTTGTTGTACCGGGTTGCAAAGAGATCTACTTGGGGCAACCACTTGGGGCTATCACATTCTTGGCCCCCGGGATGTGACGGGCGCGTACGCCCATGTCCAAGTCGTCGACAAGGGCGAAGAACCTGAATGTCCGGTCCAGAAGGGCCGCCGACCGAGTCGTTCCCTGTTTGTTGACGCAGTGGACGACTGTGGAGTTGTCCGACTGTATCATCAGCCGTTTCCGACGTAGTCAAAGTTTCTAAAACTCGACCGCCCGATTCACTGCTTCCATCTCGAGGCAGTTGATGTGGTGGACCTTTTCTACTGGCGACCACAGCCCGGCCGCTTGGTCGTCCCCGAAGTGCGCTCCCCAGCCTTCCAATGACGCGTCTACGAATAGGTGTAGTATGAACCGAGGCTCGCTCATAAAGACGCCTTCGCAAACGTTCGACGGCTGGAGCCACCACTCCAGATGACAACATAGCTGCGCCCGAAGTGGAACCAGGAGATTGGGAAACTCCAGATAGGGGTACAGCAATCTCTGCAGCGGACGAAGTTGAAGACGTCCTCGGCGAGTCAGGTCTTGGGCCGATGTCAACAGACCGAGGACTTCCTGCCACGTGTGCACCGACGCTGGGGCATGTAGAAGTCTCAGAACGCTGCTGACAATCTTGTCCCAGCGGTCTTGAGGTACCTTGACCAGATTGACTCCCATCTGGAAGCGTATCCCAATGTACTGTAGATCCCGAGTTGGTACAAAGTCCGACTTTTGAAAGTTGACGATCCACCCGAGGTACCGTAGTAGACTCAGGGTGGTCGCCAACTCTTCTTGAAGGGCTTCTGTGAATTGGTGAGCTTGGAGCCCGTCGTCTAGGTAGAAGGCGACCCTGATCGCCTGCTGATGGAGCCATTCTACGACCGTCTTCATGATCCGTGTGAAAATGCACGGGGCCGTAGAAATTCCAAACGAGAGGGCCGCCCACTGGTAATTAATACCTTGGTATTCGAATCGGAGGTACTTCTGGAACTCGGAAGCTATTGGTACATGTAGATACGCGTCCTGAAGGTCTATGGAGGCGAGGAGGTCGTTCTGTAATATCATCCGACGCAGAAAGCTGAGGGATATCATGGTGAATGTGTCGGGTTGTTGGAGGTATGTTGCGTTGAACTTTTTGAGATTGAAAATAAGCCGCATCTTTGTGGAGCTTTTCTTGGGTACTAGAAAGATGGGGGAGTAGTACCCCGGCGATGGTGCCGATGTCCCTAGGCGAAGTACGGCCGCCTTTTCCACCAACAAATCGATGGCCGCCGTCAGCCGATCCGTTGGTGGAATGTAGAATGTCGGGGATGACGTCAGTGGTGGAGTCGATCTCAGGCGTGGGGTGTAGCCTGTTGTCAAAATGTTCTGAACGTAAGGGTCGTTGTGGAAAACCCACTTGTGGGCATAGTGATGAAGTCTCCCCCCTACCGGTAGCTCGTCTAAAGGTAGTGTCACCGGGGGAGACTCCAACCACGGCGACGGCAGGGGAAGGGACCTCACTTCCTCCCCCGCTGGCACTTTCCCCCTCTGGGATACTTGGAAAAGGAGACCTGACGACCTTTCCTGTCGGAATCTCTCTTGCGGAACGGCTGTCGAGGCACGTCCCTACGGAAGGCCCGTTGCACATTCTCGTTTCGGTAACGTCGTCGTGGGGCGTTCGAAACCGGTGGCCGTCTGGACAGGTTGTGTGAAGCTGAAATGATGATGTCACGCTCGGCTTCCCTGGAGTACTTGTCCAGAACGTCGT